GAGTCCGAAATGCAGCTCTTAGGTGCAATCTCAAAAACGACAGAATGAATCTCTATTCATTTTCAAGGCAAACCATTCACTATCACAGTAATCCAAGTCTATGCCCTGACCAGTAATGGTGAAGAAGCTGAAACTGAATGGGTTCTATGAAGACCTACAAGACCTTCTAGAACTAACACCCAAAAAAAGATGCCCTATTCATTATAGGGGACTGGAATGCAAAAGTAGGAAGTCAAGAGATACCTGGAGTAACAGGCAAATTTGGCCTTGGAGTACAAAATGAAGCAGGGTAAAGGCTAACAGAATTTTGCCAAGAACACACTGGTCATAGCAAACACCTTCTTCCAACAACACAAGAGAAGACTTTACACATGAAAATCACCAGATGATCAATACTGAAATCAGATTGATTATATCCTTTGCAGCCAAAGATGAAGCTCTATACAGTCAGCAAAAACAAGACTGGGAGCTGACTGTGGCTCAGATCATGAAATCCTTGTTGCCAAATTCAGACTTAAATTGAAGAAAGTAGGGAAAACCACTAGACCATTCAGGTATGACCTAAAGCAAATCCCTTACGATTATACAGTGGAAGTGAAAAATAGATTCAAGGGATTAGATCTGATAGACAGAGTGCCTGAAGAACTATGGACAGAGGTTCATGACATTGTACAGGAGGCAGGGATCAAGACCATCCCCAAGAAAAAGAAATGCAGAAAGGCAAAATGGTTGCATGAGAAGGGCTTACAAACAGTTGAGAAAAGAAGAGGAATGAAAGGCAAATGAAAAAAGGAAAGATATACCCATTTGAATGCTGAGTTCCAAAGAATAGCACAGAGAGATAAGAAAGCCTTCCTCAGTGATCAATGCAAAGAAATAGAGGAAAACAATAGAATGGGAAAGACTGGAGATCTTATCAAGAAAATTAGAGATACTAAGGGAATATTTCATGCAAAGATGGGGACAATAAAGGATAGAAATGGTATGGACCTAACAGAAGCAAAAGATATTAAGTGGGGGAGGCAAGAATACACAGAAGAACTATACAAAAAAGATCTTTATGATTCAGATAATCATGATGGTGTGATCACTGGACTAGAGCCAGACATCCTGGAAAGTGAAGTCAATTGGGCCTTAGGAAGCATCACTATGAACAAAGCTAATGGAGGTGATGGAATTCCAGTAGAGCTATTCCAAATCCTAAAAGTTGATGCTGTGAAAGTGTTGCACTCAACATGCCAGCAAATTTGGAAAACTCGGCAGTGGCCACAGGACTGGAAAAGGGCAGTTTTCAACCCAACCCCAAAGAAGGGCAATGCCAAAGAATGTTCAAACTATGGCACAATTGCACTCATCTCACACGCTAGCTAAGTAATGCTCAAAATTCTCCAAGCCAGGCTACAACAGTATGTGAACCATAAACTTCCAGATATTCAAGCTGGATTTAGAAAAGGCAGAGGAGTCAGAGATCAAATTGCCAACATCCACTGGATCATCGAAAAAGCGAGAGAGTTCCAGAAACACATCTACTTCTGCTTTATTGACTACACCAAAGCCTTTGACTGTGTGGATCACAGTCACAAACTGGAAAATTCTTCAAGAGATGGGAATACCAGGCCACCTTACCTGCCGTCTGAGAAATCTGTATGGAGGTCAAGAAGCAACTGTTAGAACTGTATATGGAACAACAGACTGGTTCCAAATCAGGAAAGGAGTTAAGGCTGTATACTGTCACTCTGCTTATTTAACTTATATTCAGTGTACATCATGTGAAATGCCAGGCTGTATGAAGCTCAAGCTGGAATAAAGATTGCTGGGAGAAATATCAATAACCTCATATATGCAGATGACACCATCCTATGGCAGAAAGCGAAGAGGAACTACAGGGCCTCTTGATGAAAGTGAAAGAGAGAGTGAAAAAGCTGGCTTAAAACTCAACATTCAGAAAACTAAGACCATGGCATCTTGTCCCATCACTTCATGGCAAATAGATGGGGAAACAATGGAAACAGTGACAAAATTTATTTTCTTGGGCTCCAAAATCACTGCAGATGATGACTGCAACCATGAAATTAAAAGACGTTTGCTCCTTGGAAGAAAAGCTATGGTGAACCTGGATAGCATATTCAAAAGCAGAGACATGACTTTGCCAACAAATGTCAAAACTATGGTTTTTCCAGTAGTCATGTATGGATGTGAGAGTTGGACCATAAAGAAAGCTGAGTGCCAAAGAATTGATGCTTTTCAACTGTGGTGTTGGAGAAGACTCTTGAGAGTCCCTTGGACTGCAAGGAGATCCAACCAGTCCATCCTAAAGGAAATCAGTCCTGAATATTCATTGAAAGGACTGATGCTGAAGCTGAAACTCCAATACTTTGACCACCTGATGCAAAGAACTGACTCATTTGAGAAGACCCTGATGCTGGGAAAGATTGAAGGTGGGAGGAGAAGGGGACAGCAGAGGATGAAATGGTTGGATGGCATCACCGACTGGATGGACATGAGTTTCAGTAAGCTCCGGGAGTTGGTGATGGACAGGGAAGCCTGGCGTGCTGCAGTCCATGGTGTTGCAAAGAGTTGGACAGGACTGAATGACTGAACTGAAGATCCTATCCTTTCCTGAGACCATAAAATCTACAAGGGCTGGGATAGAGCCTGTTGTCTCAGCAATATTTTATTATGAAAGAGTTCAGATTCACAGTAAATAAGGAGGAGTTTTATAGCCAAGATCTAGATTCTACCTGTTTTTGACCCCATTATATCTCTGCCTGGTATGGTGCCTGGTATCTAGTAGATCTGCAATAAATCTTTGCTGAATGAAAGTGGTTCATATCTTTCCACATCTCAGATGATAAAGATAAGGTTAACAATATTTATGTCAGCATCATTTCTATATGTGAAAAACTGGAAACAACTTAAATGCCCAAGATAGAGGACTGGCTAAATAAATTATGGTACATCCTACATAGTGGGATTCCTCATCATCAGTGACAGTGATGATGTGTGTATTGACATGGAAGGGTGTTCCTGATGTACTGTTAGGAACAAAACTAAAGAAAACTGGGTATGACATCATTTTTTTATAAAGTTAATAAATCAATTAACATTTACAGGTAGAACCTATTCTATGACAGGTACTATTTTTAAATACTTTAGATATATTAATGCATTTTAATCCTCACAAGAATCCTATGGAGTGAGTACACCCTATTATCCCCATTTTACAGATAAGGAAACTGAGGCACAGAGAGGGGAATAACTTGCCTAGACTCACACAGCTCTTTCCATGGGAAAATGCCTTGGAAGTTACACAAAGAATGTGAGTGTTGACAATATCAAATACTGTCAAGGATGTGAGGCCACAGGAACTCTCACTCATTGCTGGTGGGAATGCAAAATACAGTCACTTTGGAAGAGAGCTTTGTGCTTTCATTAAAAACTAAACGTACTCTAACCACACGATCCAGCAACTACACCCTTGGTATTTACTCAAAGGAGCTGAAAACACGCCCACACACAAACCTGCACGTGGACATTTATGGCAGCTTTATTCATAACTGTCCAAACTTGGAAACAACCAGGATGTCCTTCAGTCGGTGAACGGGTAATGGAACACTGCTCAGTGCTTAGTCACTCTGTCAGCCTCTTGGGACTGCAGCCTGCCAGGCTCCTCTGTCTATGGAATTTTCCAGGTGAGAATATTGCAGTGGAGTGGGTTGCCATTTCCTACTCCAGGGGATCTTCCTGACCCTAGGATCAAACCCTTGTTTCCTGTGTCTCCTGCATTGGCAGGAGGGTTCTTTACCACTGTGCTACTTGGGAAGCAATGGAATATTATTTGGCACTAAAAAAAGAGCTGTCAAGCCATGAAAAAACTTAGAGGAAACTTAAATGCATATTATTAAGTAAAAGAAACTAATCTGAAAAGTTGTATGATTCCAACTATATGATATTTTAGAAAAGGCAAAAAACCATGGTGACAGTAAAACAGATCTGTGGTTGCCAGGGACTGGGGGTCAGGGAGGAAGCACAGAGGATTTTCAGGGCAATGAGACTATTCCGTATGATATTATAATGGTAGCTACATGTTATCACACATTTGTCCAAGCCCAAATCCATAGACTGTACAAGAGTAAACCCTACACAACACTGCAGATCAACTACACTCCAGTAAAATTAAAATTAAAGAGTGAACCCCAAAGTAAACCTGACAGCTTCCCTGATAGCTCAGTTGGTAAAGAATCCACCTGCAACACAGAGACCCTGGCTTGATTCCTGGGTGGGGAAGATCCATTGGAGAAGGAATAGGCTACCCACTCCAGTATTCTTGGGTTTCCCTTGTGGCTCAGCTGGTAAAGAATCCCCCCAAATGTGGGAGACCTAGGTTCAATCCCTGGGTTGGGAAGATCCCCTGGAGAAGGGAAAGGCTACCCACTCCAGTATGCTGGCCTGAAAAATTCCATGGACTGTATAGTCGATGGGGTCACAAAGAGTCAGACGTGACTGAGCAACTTGCACTTTTCTTTCCAATGTAAACCATGGGCTTTGGGTGATTATGATGTTTCCATGTAGGTTCATCAGCTGCAACAGCTGTACCTCTCCGGTGCTGATGTTGATAACTGGGGGGCTGTGCATGAATGGCGATGGAGGGTACCTCGGAAATCTCCATATCATCCTCTCAATTTTCTGTGAAACCAAAACTGCTTTAAAAACAGTGTATTTTTATATATATGCGGTAACTTCTAAGAGAGAAGATTTGGCATAATTTTGCTTCTTCCTATTGCCTCTGTCACATCTCATTTTTCTCCAGCAGTCATGTCTCACTTGTGTATACTCTTTTCCTGGAACATCACTTCTCAAGTGGTGAAGCAAAGTTAAGTCTGGAGAAGGGAACACTTGGCTGCACACCCAACAAGAAGCCTCCCTCAACAGATGTCCCGTCGCGATCAGATTCGTCGTGACATTTCAGTCAGGCAACTACAGAAGAGGGCTGCCGTTACCTTTGTTGGAGCTGGAGAACTGGATGCCCACCTCTTGGAGGAGGTGCTCTGTTTCCTCCAGCCAGGACAGCGACAGGCGCAGAATGTCCAGAGACACCTTCTGGAGCCCCGAGACAGGTGGGCTCACCTGCAGGCGCTGCAGGAAGCTGACCTCCTTCCTCAGGTCGTTGCTACAGCACGACGTCTTCATGCAAACCTGGAAAGAGAGGAGGTCGTGAGGAGTCAGGACACCATTGCCAGAAATAGCACCCGACCATCGTGACCCACAGAGAGCAGTGTTCTTGATGTGTTCTTGAAGCAGGAAGTGCCCTGGGATGGCCCACTTCTAGTTGCCTTTTAGGGGGTGGGTGGGACGAGGGGGCAGCTTTTATTTTGTGTGCACTTTAATTGGGACTTTTGATGGTCAAAGAGACCCCGTGTTTACAGACTTAGAGAATGAATTTATGGTTGCTGGGGGTCAGCAACCCCTTATAGAGGGAAGGGATAGTTAGGGAGTTGGGGATGGACATGTACACACTGCTATATTTAAAATGGATAACCAACAAGGACCTACTGTACAGCACATGGAACTCCCTTAAAGTTATGTGGCAGCCTGGATGGGAGGGGAGTTCAGGGGAGAATGGACACATGTATATGGATGGCTGAGTCCCTTGGCCGTTCACCTGAAACCACCACAACATGGTGTGTTAATCGGCTATGAAAGTGAAAGTGAAAGTCGCTCAGTCATGTCTGACTCTTTGCGACCCCATTGGACTATACAGTCCATGGAATTCTCCAGACCAGAATTACTGGCGTGGGTAGCCTTTCCCTTCTCCAGTGAATTATCCCAACCCAGGGGGATCGTACCCAGGTCTCCCGCATTGCAGGCGGATTCTTTATGAGCTGAGCCACAAAGGAAGCCCAAGATATAATCGGCCACACCCCAATATAAAATAAAAAGCAAAAAAAAGGGACTTCCCTGGTGGTTCAGTGGTGAAGACTCTGTGTTCTCAATACAGTGGGTTCGTTTGATCCCTGGCCAGGGAACTAGATCCCACATGCCACAATTAAAAAATCCCATATGCAGCAATGAAGATTGAAGGTCCCACATGCTGCAAATAATATCTGGTGCAGCCAATAAACAAAATAAATAAAAAGAAATAAAAAAAAAACAGAAAAAGGAAGAGATCCCATGTTTAGGTACAGGCAATTCCAAAGCCAAATTGCCAAGGACGATTTGGCTGAAATGAGAACCAAATTTGGCTACAAAATTCCTGCTGAGATCAACACACAAGCTGGTCAGAAAGTCCGATTTCCTGACTTGAAAAAGTGCTGACAAGCCAACATTCACACAGATTCCCCAAATAGCAGCTGCTTATTTCCAGAGAAAGCAGAAGCAGCTGCCTGCTCTGATAAAGCTGGTTCCCCGGGTGGGGGCTGGGAGGTGGGGGGTGGTGGTCGGTCTGAACCAGTCTTGTCTCCTCCAGAGTCAAAAGCGACTAGGGTAAGAGCAGCCTTTCCACTGCTGGGACAAAAAAGAAAAACGCAAATGAAGAGCAGGATGTTTTCTTGGTTTCTCTGGAAATAACCCAGCGCTATTTTGAGGGCAAGAGGAGAAGGGGGCGACAGAGGATGAGATGGTTGGATGGCATCACTGACTTAATGGACATGAGTTTGAACAAACTCCAGGAGACGGTGAAGGACAGGGAAGTCTGGCGTGCTGCAGTCCACGGGGTCGCAAAGAGTCAGACACGACTGAGTGACTGAACAGCCACATTTCTTCCCCTGAGGTCCAGGGGCCTCCCAAAGGGGAGCGTCGGGCAGCTTTTTCTTGGCCACACCAAGTTCACCTGGGAGGCAGATTTCGAGGTCCTTTGTTTTCTACCTCAAACAGATTTCTCCAGCAAGAGAGAAGGTGGGCAGAAAAGCAGAGCCGGATGATGTTCTGAACAAGGAGCACAACGTGAGCCATGGGGGACACGGGTGAGAAGCGGAGGAGGGCACCTGGCAACTGTCTAAGGCCTTCTTCAGTTTCTCAACGCTGTCTGTGACCTCTTCCTGTCGGCAGAGGCCGAGCTGGGTCTCCTTCTGCAGGGTCCACTTTTTCTGCTGAAAGTTGATGTTGTCCTCAGTGACCTGGGTGATCTTCTCTATTAACTAATGGGAAAAAAAAAATAAAAAAGATTGACATTGCAGGGTGGTTCTGGGGGGAGGGGCCCTGGGTGGGGGGAGGGCATGGGCTTGAGCTCCCATCTCCGCAGGGTTGGGGAGGGAGGTCCTGGCACATTTGGGTGATGGCTCTGGAGGGAATGTCGGCTCTGTCACTGGGGCATGTTTCCCAGGATCAGAGATGATTTTTAAGAGCCAAAGGCTTGTCATGTGGCCCCGCGTGTGTTCTAGATTCTTCGGAACTCTGGGAGTGATTCATCACGCTGAGCCTGATGCTGTGGGGCCCGAAAGAGAAGGCTGGGTTATCCGAGAGCAGTCCATGGTGTAAATTTTTCACTCGCGTGCTGACACAGGGTTGGAGGGGACAAACAGAAGAATAACAACTCAGTCCTTACAGCCAGAGGCACATCCTTGCTGCTGGCTGCCCTCTTCAGGAGGGACGAGCCAGGACGCCTGCTCTATGGCAAGGCTCTTTCCACATGGGACTAACGGGAGTGGACCCCGCAGGCCTGGAGACCAGACACAGGCCTGGGTGGTTCCATTTGATTTTCACACAAACACTTCAAGGCTTCAACACTTTAACTGGCTTTTACTCTAAAAGCCAGGAAATCCCAGAATATCAAAACAAATCTTCATGGTGTAGCAACAGTGTGAAAAATATGCGCCACCAATAAGAAACAGAAACATATGCTCCCAGTGTCTGGAGTCCCAGGTCCCTGAGGAAGAAAGTGGGGAAGAGAGACAAACCTGCTGATCGGAGACGGGCTTGTCCTGGAACGGCTTCGCTCGTCCGTAGGTGGCCTTGATGACCTGACTTCTGAAATGCTCCAGCTGCAGCACAAAGAAAGGGAAGGTGATGGAATGAGTGGTGCAGCTGCAGCCACAAGGCTTGAGGAGGCACTTCCACTGCTGCATTTGGGAGAAACTGGTTAGAAGGCTCTGCACACCATTAATGGTCACTATGGTTGGGGCTTCCCAGGTGGTCCTGGTGGTAAAGAATCTGCCTGCCAATGCAGGAGCCACAAGAGATGTGGATACGACTCCTGGGTAGGGAAGATCCCTTGGAGTAAGAAATGGCAACCCAATCTAGTATTCTTGCCTGAAAAATTGCATGGATGGAGGAGCCCGCAGGCTACATTCCATGGGGTTGCAAAGAGTTGGTCACGACCAAGTGACTAAGTGCGCATGCAAACGGGTTATTAACACCTTCACTTCTCACCAGAAGGGGCAGTGCCCACACAAGAGAGGGGGACAGTAGATGTTAATGACTTTTCAGGCATGCCCGCCTAACCCAGCCGATGCACGTGGGCAGCTCACATACGTCTTGGGCCCTCAGAAGAGCCACTCACTGCCAATTATCCAGTGGGAAGTCTGGGGCCGGGAGCGCTCTTCCGTAATTGGTACGCTGGCACCAGGCTGTGAGATAAATATTGAGGCTGTCAGCCCGCGTAAACTATGTAATCAGCCAGGGTGCCCGGGGAGAGAAGGAGGAGCAGTTCGCTGCCATTTTGCGCCTTAAGCCTCGTGTCCTGAAGATGACGCCTGCTGTATTCCCCTCCAGGTCCCTGGAGCCGGGCACCCAGCAGGCACTCAATAAATGTTCACTGAATGCTTGTAACAGAAACAACTGACTTGGCAGATGTTCAAAGTCCTCGCCTTCAGTTCAGCCAGCTTTTACTGACTGCTTCCCTGGTGCTGGTGTCTTCAGATTACGGTTGATGAAAGAGCACAGTTACACTAGAATCAGGGCTTCTAGAATGACAAGTTCAAGGTGTCCCAAGTTCATGAGAGGCAAACAAGCCCAACCCTCTCTGGAAGTTTACCAACATGCCGGCCCTTGGCTTGGGATTTTGGCTCACGGGCAAAATGTGGTCACGAAAGACTCTAAAATAGAGCCCTGAAGGACCGTCACGGCTGGGGAATCCATGTGAATGTCAACGGGTCCCAAGACACAGGAGTTTGCTGTACACCAGGAAGTTCTGAAAAGCCAAGGAGAGGAATTATGACTCTCCTAAAGACAGCTCTGCAGTCAGCTTGCCGGGAGCCAGCTGGGTGATCTGAGGGATTCTGGGCCGTCTGCTGGTTTCACGACTAAGGGGAGGGTCCTAACTTGCCTGAGGAAGAGGTTATGTAGGCAGGGCCCCATGGGTGATGGCGCCCATCACCACCAGAGGCACCCTATGGGACTGCTCTGAGCGGAGGGGCAGGTCCTGCTGGACAATGGGAGTCAGTCCTGGAGTCACCCACCTGGGGAAGGGCATGGCCTCAGGCAGGGAGCTGGCTGTAGAAAAGAGGGTGACATGAAGGCCAGGGCAGCACAGACAGGCCTCATCCTTCCTCTTGAGTCCTGGAGGAATCTCTGTGTCTCTGAGGGTCTTCCCGAATGAGCTCTGGCTGGAGGCATGACCAGGCTCTTGGCAAGCAGCACAGATCATGCCCTTAAAGCGGGTGTGTCCCGGGGGTGCAGAGCGCTGGCAGGGGGAGGGGTAGCCCAGGTGCACCAAAGGAAGCCCAGAGCGGTGGGCTATCTCCCTCGCTAAGGGGTTGGCACCATGCAGGAGACAGGACACCGGGGGTGATGGTGTGGATGTTTGTTGAAGAGGCCTTAAAACCTGCTAAGAGGCACTATCATCATCATTTGCCCTGTGGGTGCCTCTGGAGTTCAGCATGGAGGACGATGCCCGGTCACACTGCTGGTTCAGGCTTGGACGCCACCACATGGAAGGGCTTCGGGAGCTGGGCTGGGTGGGCTGGAGGGCTCCTTTAAGGACCGTGATTCTTAACCTTTCTGGGTAGTTTACGGACCCTTCTGAGAATCCAATGAGTGATGAGGAGGACTCATCCTCCCAGAAAAAGAAAAGCACAAATACATTTATACATGCAAAATGTTCTTGTCCTCCTGGAGCCATGTTTGCCAGGAGAGGGGTGTCTTGTGGAGAGGTCCAAGGTGGGCTGCTCTGGGTGGGCCACCTTCCATAGGGGCAGTGCCCCATCCTGGGATCTCGTCTGCCCTCCCTTAGCTTTTTGTGAGGCCTTGTTTGCATGTTCTGGCCATCATGTCTGCGCCACATGTAAGAGGAAGGGCTGCTGGGCCATCTTGGGTCAGAGCCCTGGGATGTGGCACCGCCAGGCCTGCTGAGTCAGAGCCTGCTCCCCACCCCACCCATCTCCATTTGACATGAGCTGTGATAATCTGGGTTCTATTATTAATTCTATTATACAGTTCAGTTCAGTCGCTCAGTCGTGTCCAGCTCTTTGCGACCTCATGGTCTGCAACAGGCTTTCCTGTCCATCACCAACTCCCGGAGCTTACTCAAACTCATGTCCATCCAGTCAATGATGCCATCCAACCATCTCATCCTCTGTCATCCCTTTCTCCTCCTGCCTTCAGTCTTTCTCAGCATCAGGGTCTTTTCAAATGAGTCAGTTCTTTGTATCAGGTGGCCAAAGTATCGGAGCTTCAGCTTCAGCATCAGTCCTTCCAATGAATATTCAGGACTGATTTCCTTTAGGATGGACTGGTTGGATCTCCTTGCAGTCCAAGGGACTCTCAAGGGTCTTCTCCAACACCACAGTTCAAAAGCATCAATTCTTTGGCGCTCAGCTTTCTTTATAGTCCAATTCTCACATCCATACGTGACTACTGGAAAAACCACAACTTTGACAAGATGGACCTTTGTTGGCAAAGTAATGTCTCTGCTTTTTAACATGCTGTCTAGGGTGGTCATAGCTTTTCTTCCAAGGAGCAAGCATCTTTTAATTTCGTGGCTACAGTCACCATCCACAGTGATTTTGGAGCCCCCCAAAATAAAGTCTGTCACTTTTTCCATTGTTTCCCCATCTATCTGGCATGAAGTGATGGGACCTGATGCCATGATCTTTGTTTTCTTAATGTTGAGTTTTAAGCCAACTTTTTCACTCTCCTCTTTCACTTTCAAGAGGCTCTTTAGTTCTTTGATTTCTGCCACAAGGGTGGTGTCATCTGCATATCTGAGGTTATTGATATTTCTCCCAGCAATCTTGATTCACACTTGTGCTTCCTCCAGCTTAGCATTTCTCATGACGTACTCTGCATATAAGTTAAATAAGCAGGGTGACAATATACGGCCTCGACGTACTCCTTTCCCGCTTTGGAACCGGTCTGTTGTTCCATGTCCAGGTCTAACTATTGCTTCTTGACCTGCATATTATTACTACCTCATTAAGAAAAGTGGCAGGACTTCCCTAGTGGTTCAGGGGTTAAGAGTCTGCGCTTCCACTGTAGGGGGCACGGGTTTGTTCACTGGCTGGGGAACTAAGATCTGCAAGCCATGTGGCTTCACCAAACCAAACCAAACTAAACCAAACCAAACCAAACCAAACAAAAACAGAAAAGTGGCATTCCCCTGTGGATACTGACTAGAGTGTCTGTTTGGAGGCCCAGAGGAAGAAAGATGGCTATAAATGTCAAGACAAAAAAATGTGAAGAAGAAAGTACTAGAAACACCACTGAGGGTTGAGAGGCTCAAACCCTCCCCAAGAGGGACCCACACCGCTGGTTTACCGGGGTGGGCCTTGACCTGGGACTGGCTGCTTGGTCAGGGTCTCAGGTGATGGCAAACACCAGTGTGGGCAGCTTCCCAGCAGGAAAGGCCTTTTTAGTGACATCCACTGGGACTCAGGAACCACACAGAGCCCTGCCCCTGGGGATAAGTGGGTGAAATTAAACCAGGCTGTCCTCCTCCTCACTCATCCCCACCGGCCGCTTGAGCGCAGGGCTCCATGGAGAGTGGTGGGCCGTGAAGGGGCTTGGCAGCACGCCTACCTGACCTACTGCCCTTTCCAAATTGGCTTTAATGAGGTTTTCTCTGTTCCCCATTTCTTGCAGCTGAAGCAATTTCCTTCTGGAATCCTCCTGAAGTTTCTCTTCAACCTGAAAGGATGATGAAAGCATGGGCTTGCTGCTAATGTGATGATCATGCCCTCTGGGGGAACTCTTCTGGGGGGTGGGGGCGGTGTTAATGGCAGTGGGGGAATCCTCAAGGCGTAGGGACAGCTGCGGCCCTGTGGCAGGAGTCATGGGCATACACAGTGTGGAGATAAACTCACAGGGAGATACCCCTTAAGGGAAGGGGCTGAGCTCTGCACCCTGGGCTCAACTACGTCCTATCACAGACTCCAGTCCCAGCTTGGACCCTAGCAAGATGTGTGACCTTGGGAAAGTGATTTCACTGTTCCGTGACTCAGTGTTCTCATCTGTCAAATGGGGATGATGGTACCTGTACTGCAGCATAGAGTTACTGTGGGGATTCAAAATATTTGGAATAGGGCTTACAGGTCTGTGGGTGTGGTAAATATTGACGTGACCTATAAAAGGTGGGTGTGGAATTTCCTGGTGGTCCAGTGGCTAAGTCTCCTCGCTCTCAATGGAGGGCACCCAGGTTTGATCCCTGGTCAGGGAACTAGATCCCACATGCCACAATGAAGATAGGAGATCCCACGTGCAACAATTAAGATCCAGTGCAACCAAATAAATAAATATGTTTTTTAAAAGGTGAATGGGGTCTCCTTCTAAGACCCCATGATGGGTCCCTCGTCAGTGTTATTATTGGGTTTATCATCATAACTATTTGTCATTATCACTTTGAGCACACCCACAGGTGGAAAGCTCTCTAGAGGCTTGCTAAGTAATGTCTATTAAGAATTGCAGCCTGCAAAAGAAGGCGTTTGAAGTGCAGAAGCTTGCTTGTCTAATCCTCCCTTGCTTGGGTAACGGGGCAAGCTGAGGTGCTCGGAAGCGCTTGATGCTGCCCTCTTCTGGCCAGTGTAGGCTTTGCAGCTGCTCATGGCAGGGACACAGCTCACCCTTTCAGGGATACACCTGCTGAGCCCAGGGCTCTGGCACCAGCAAGAAACCAGGCAAACTCTTGCAAATAAATGGAAAGACTTTGTGCTGAAACAAATCCCATGGGCCGTGTTGATGAGGGATCTGACAAGGGGGATCACAGAGATGTAATAAAAGACCCAGAAGAACTCTTTGGAGCTTTGCTCTGAGTAGAGCGGTGTAGAGGTAAAGTGACTACCCAGCTCTGTTACCTTGGAGAGCCACTCTCTGGGCCTTAGTTTTCTCCCAGGTCTAAGCATGCAATGACTTGTATTTCAGCAACATTTTCACACACCGCAGAAGCCAAGTCCAACCCTGGACTCTGCCCTTACCTGTGTTCTCCACGAATAGCCCCCCATCCCCACTCCTGAGCCTCAGGCACCACCCTGCTCCCTCCGTCACACCTGTTGCTCTCCACGCCTGTTCTCCCATCCCTCTCACGCGACATGCTGGGCTGGGCCAACTGGCCTCCTCGCCTCTAGTTCAGGGCCTTGCAGAACAGCCTTAACGGTACTGTGAGGTTAGCCGGCTGTAGGGCAGCTCCGACCTACAGACCCTTCTACAACGACACAGACGCTCTGAACCTGTATCATCTAATACGGCAACCACGAACTGCATCTGGTGATCCAGCGCTTGAAGCAGGGGCTGGTGTGACCGAGGAAAGGAATTTCAAAGTGTATTTAATTTTGATTAATATCAGTGTAAAGAGCAGCACGTGGCTGTTGGCTACACATTGGTGGCTGGAGTCAGACCAACCTGCGACTGGGCTAGTTACATTGCTAGTTAACAAGGGGTCTTGACTTTCTCATCTGTAAAACGGGGAGGATGATCTCTAGATCATGGCGCTGTTGTGAAGAGGGAAAAGAGATGAAATGTTTGGTGGTAATGCCCAGTCCATGAGAAACTGCAGCTATCATTTTCACCATTATTAGCTGCGAACGTCACATATTGGTTCCCTGTTCGGAAGCCCTGGTAGCACCCCACTGCCTGTGTGCAATAGAGCCTGAGTGCCAGAACTAGCGCAAAACACCAAGCCAGTGATTCAAGAAGCCCCGATGAGCTCTGAACAAGGCAAATAAAAATGAATCCGCATCTAGATAAATCATAATAAAACTGCTGGAAATCTAGGGAAGAGAAAATCTTAAAAGCAGCCAGAGAAAAAGACAGGTTTTGCAAAGGTGCAATAATAAGGCTTACAGATGGCTTCTAAATAGAAATAACAGGAGCCAAAAGACAGCAGTGACATGCCTAATGCTATTTCTAATGTGCTGAAAGAAAAAACCTGCCACTGTAGAATTCAATAGGCAATCAAATGTGTTTTAAGAATGAAGGTTAAATATACATTTCAAGATAGACACACAAACACATCTGAGACTGTCATCAACAGAGCTACAGTGAAGGAAAACACTAAAGGGTATTCTTCAGAGACAAGAAAAATGAATGCAGATGGATGATCAGAAATGCAGAAAAGACAAGCAACAGTAAGAATAACGTGTGCATATGATACTGATTATATAAAAACACCAATAATATTTTTGGGGGTTTTATTAATAACTATAGAGAGGAGTTTAGAAAATGACAACGATGACTTACAAATCTGGAGCGGTTAAGTGAAGTCAGGGTGTTCTAAATTCACTGCATTGTCAAGGAGAAGGGCATAATTATCAACTAATACTACATCTTGGTAAGTTAAGAATGCACATTGTAAGCACTTCTGTGGTGTCCAGTGGCTAAGACTCTGCGCTCCTAATGCCAGGGGACTGGGTTCAACTCCTGGTCAGGGAACTAGATTCCACATGCCACAGCTGAAGAGTTTGCATGCTGCAACTGAAGATCAAACATGCCACAATGAAGATCCACAACTAAAACCCAGCACAGCCAAAGAAATAAATTAATTAAAAAAGAATGCACATTGTAATCTTTAGGATGACCACTAAGAGAGCAATAAAAGAGTGAAAAACTTAATTAATGTGAGCTCATTGCGAGGCAAGGATAAAATGCTATTGTCTTACTATTATTAAAAGGATAGTAAAAAAGTGAAATGTTTCCAAGCTAATAGAGGGGGAAGGTGGAATGATAGAAAACCATCAACTCAAAAGGAGGCAAGAAAGGAGAGAAAAAGCAATATAGTACAGAGAGTACAACTGGCCCTGAGCAAGAGTAGATTTAAATCCCAATGTATCAGTAATTATATAACACAAATGGACTAAAAGACTGTCAAACTGGATTTTGTAAAAATGATATGCTATTTGGAAGCTATACGTCTAAAACTTAAAAATGGACAGAGAGGACTTCCCTGGTGGTCCAGTGGTTAAGAATCCATCTGCCAAAGCAGAGGACATGGGTTTGAGCCCTGGTCCCGGGAGATCCCACATGCCACGGGGCAACTAAGCCCATGAGCCACAACTACTGAGCCCTTGCACCCCAAAGCCCGTGCTCCACAACAAGAAGCCACTGAAATGAGAAGCCGGCGCACTGCAACTAGAGAGCAGTCCCTGCTCAACAAATCTAGAGAGAGCCTGTGTGCGGTAATGAAGACCCAGCACAGCCAAAAATAGATAAACAAATAAAATTTTAAAAATTAGCAGAGGAAGTATGAAAAACATATGCTATGGAAACTCTAACCAACAGCAAGCCAGTGATGGCGCTACATGACAAAGATGTTAAGAGGAAAACACTACTAGAGATGAAAAGGGACATTTTATGATGATCAAAAGTCTTATTCTACTGGAAGTATTCGAATTCCAAATTTATATGCACATAGTAACACAACCTCACAATATATAAAGCAAAACTTGTCAATATTAAAAGAAGAAACACAAATCTACAATCATGATGAGACTAGAAAAAAAAAAACAAACGTTCCCAATGACTGATGGAACACAAAGACACACACACACACAAATCAATAAGAGTATTTAAGTTGGAACAACATCATTGACAAACTTGATTTAATGGATCAATTCTTTCCTGGGTAATTTCATGATTGAAGGCAGTGGGTCATGGTTATACACAGGAACTTTGGAGTCTGGCAGACCCAGCCTGGAGCGGTTGCCATGGCGACCCATCCCGGCCATACCTTGCTCTTTTCCCGAAGTGTCTTGGAGATCAGGTTCTGCTCTGTACTGCTCCTCTTCAGCTCCTCCCTGAGTTTTCTCACTTCTTTCTCCATGTCGTGGATTTGCTGAGAAAGTTTCAACAACAGCAAAGTCAACTTCGGAACTCACCTCACCCGGTGCGTTAAGGTGGAAACCTAGTCTAAGATCAGTTTAATTCTTTTCCTTGGGAGATGCTTCTACATCTTTAAAGCAAAGTAGGGTTTCTTTCAACAGATGCACTGAAAGTGCAGGGTGAGGGGAAATTTGAGTTTCTTTTGAAGATCAGCAGGGATTCTGGATTAAACAGTACAAGGGACACATTAGATTCTCTTTCCTTGGAATATATTTTGAGTTCAGTCTAAATAGGGGTTATTTGGAAGACACCATGGGCAAAGCTTGGAAGAAAAGAACAATGAGCTTTTTCTTTTTGTTCCCATTTGAGACAGAGAATAACAGTGCCCCTGAGAGGACAAAATGGCCTCGACAGATGGAAAATATATGCTTGGTGATGTTCTTGAGGATTCGACTGGCACAGAGGGTGAACATTCACATTTAGTGCTCATCTTTTCATTGTATTAATTTTTATATTCACCTTCCATACAAAGCCAATGATATGTCTGCTTTTTATTTTGTTTTCATGAACTGATGTAAAATTGAATGCATCAATATTTAAGTAATGATACTTAAGGAGGCGTTTCATGTCAATAACAGTGCCCATGGCTGTGATAAAACTTGTGACAGCAGACCATGAAAATTTGGGTATCACAAGTTCAGTGGTAGGAACCATGGTGAATTTCTAGCAGCATCTAGTGGCCACCTGGCCACCTTCTGTCCTGGTCTCCAGGCCAACTCTAGCCCAGCTCCAGGGGAAACCTGATGAGGGGCCTAGAGCCAACTGTCCACAAAATACTAGGAGAGTATGTTTTCCAAGGTTTTCTACCCATCTCTTTGAGGCAAGCAAATCAAAGAATTTTGTTAATTACATTAACAAACAAGACACCCATAAAGCCCCAGAGTTTGTACTAGCTAAGGGGCCAAGGAACCCCTCCAAAGCCCTGAAATTTGGTCAAAGTCTAGGCCCAGGGGTGAGGAGGTTCAACACACGGTTTTGTAGAGTTTTATTTCTTTCTCTTGGGCTTCCACGTTCTCCTTCTGGGCATCTTCCTTCTTTAACTCTTCTTTCAGCACTGAGCACTGGGGAGAAAAATAACAAGGTCATGTGGGCTTGACTGGGGGCCCTAAGTCCCTATGTGCATGCCCAAGATTGTCTTCTGTTGTTTAACTCAATCACACCCTGCATTCTGAGAGGCCAGACCGTCTGTGTGACGGAAGCACTGGGATCCTGGGGTTGTTCCTGGTTCACCCCTCTTGTGAGTTCTGACAAATAACGAGTCTACACTGCCCTTCAAAAGCCAGCAAACTGCACCACAGGGAGAGTCCAGACTTGCAGAGCCTGGGTGCTTAGGGTGGAGGGATTGAGCTGTTTTCACTCAGTAACCATCGAGAGTGGTGGGGGGGGGGAGGGCAGAGAGTTTGGGTTGATCTTACTGCTTTTGTGCAGGTTCCATCTCAAAGACGCAGCTTCCCTGCTGGTCACAAAGGGGTAAACAGAGCTGCCTTTTCTGAGGGCATTTTGGCAACAGACATTAAGAGCATAAGGATGCATGTGCCTTCTTTTGACCCAGAAATTCCCACTTAAGACATGTACCCTAAGGACAATGATTAGAGAAATCAGGGCATCTGTAGCTTCAAGGATGTTCTCCATAGAACTGTCAGTAACAGTGGGGAAAAAAAAACCAGGTGTTGTTTATAACAGGAGATCACTTTATAACACCATGTACATCCGGGAGAAAGTGTGTGGCTTTTAAGACCAATGATAAGAGCACTGATTTATTAGCATGGGGAAGTCGTTGTGTTGATGATTTTTAAAAAGATGCATAATGTAAATCCACTGTAAAATAACTGACTGATTGATTTCTAGGTAATATATAGAAATAAGACTGGAAGAACCCAGAGGAAAAGTGACCTCACTCCAAGGTCAATAAAGAAGGGGAAACAGGGACATAATCAAACAAATGCACTGTGGGAGGTGGAAGGGCCAAGCAGGGGCTGTCTTTGCATATTCCTTCTACTAAGCACCAGCGCTGCAACCTCTCCCCGTCCCCAACACACACACACACACACGCACACACACACACACACACACACACACACACACGCGCAGTCCTCTCGCCTCAAACAGCGAGTGCACATGCCTAGGAGGGCACTCTGCTTGGCAGAAACAAAGACAGAGTCAGAGGCAGAGTCAGAGGCAGAAGAGCACTGCTAAAACCAGGCTCCCGTGTCTTAGAAGATGATTTTGTCATTCCCATTTCGCAGATGGGGAAATAAAGGCCAAATAAGTTACAGTAAGAGAAAGCTCTGGGATTGGACCCAGGTCTTTCTGACCCCAAAGCTCATGCCTCTTGCCAGTTCCATATTCGGTATAGTACTAAGCACCAGGTACTACATATTGTGCCTTTTCCTTGGAACCTCAGGATGTTTCCACCCCACACCTGTGCAGCCCTGGCTAACCCATTGGACAGCTTCTGGGAATCTCTGAGTTACGACCTGAGATGAAAGCTATGAGGTTTTACCTTGACTGGCAGAAACAGATGCACCATACAAATACTGAGAAATCTTATCCTACAGAGTCAGGATTCTAAAGTTGGCATGGAAGGCAAGATTTGCAAATAAAGTTCCATTTAAAAAACTCTTCACTCGCCTACCAAGTCTAGGGAAGAAATGAGAGTTTGTGTGTTTGCATCTGGATCTTCAAATGTTCTGATTTGAAGGCAATTATGAGAACCAGTGGTGCTGGGACCGTGATGGAGCCCTGTGGGTTGTCCCTGCTCACAGAGAGATTTTACTCTGTTTTACATTAAGCTGTGCAGTAGCAATATATGCTAATAAGTGTGTTTGTTCCTGGGGTTTATTTATCATAGGGGTTAGAAAATGTTTGCTGCATTTGAATATATATCATGCTTATTCTGAGCCACATACTGTACTTTAAAAGCTGCAGAGAAGTTGACTTCACTGCAGACACGTGACTACTGTGTCTGCTTTTTGAAGCTACACTTTGTGATGACCCGACACTCACTCTGGAGCTGAGGGCTTCAAGCTGGTGATCCTTTTCTTTGTTCTCACTTTTTAGTTGATTCACCTCCTGTTGTAGTTGTTGAACTTGCTCATCCTTTGCTAACATATCCTTTTGCAAAGATGACACCATCTCTGTAAAACAAAAACAAAAACTCACAGGTGAAAAGGGCAGGAAGGATTCCGGGCATCACCACGACTGTTAGCCAAGTTTCGGACAAGAACCTCCAAGCCCAGGGCCAGCATTCCTAGAACTGCAGAAGTTGTTGCCAAGGATCCCAGACCAAGAACAGGAATGAGACCAGAGGCCATGGAATGTGGTTTGAGGCTTCAGGGAGAATGAGGAGCATCAGTGAGCACCAGTGGGAGAAGCCTTTGGGGGCCCCTGGTGGGCAAGGTTGGGCAGAGCCGAGAGGAGAGGCCATACCCAGGGCTTGGGGAACAAAGGCCCAGCACAGGTGAAGTCCAGGAATTCTTCTCCAGAGCCCAGGAGGCAGACTCGCAGCAACGTGGACTGCTGGACACTCTTGTGGGGTGGCTAGCTTCACTTACATGAGTTTGGCCCTGTCCTTACCCCTTATTAGCTTGGTGGTCTTGGACAAGTTATTTCACCTCCCAGTGCATGTCCTGCACAGAGTTATTGTAAGGGTCAAGTCAGATGGTCTGTCCTAAGAACACAAAGTGACTAACTTATATTTGTTGTTCAGTCGCCAAATCGTGTCTTGACTCTTTGCGACCCCATGGACTGCAGCATGCCAGGCTTCTCTGACCTCCACCATCTCTTGGAGATTGCTCAAACTCATGGCCATTGAGTCGGTGATGCCAACGAACCATGTCATCCTCTGTCATCTCCCTACATGGCACTCACTATTTTTCACAATAGCCAGTTTCCAACATGGCCCCCATGATCCCTGCCTCCTGGAATTCATGCCCTTGTGTGGCCCCTCCCACCCTGAATAGGGCTGACATGGGTAACCCATGTGATGCTGTGGAAATGATGCAATGCAACCTCCCAGGCTGGGTCATAAAAGACACTGCGGCTTCCTCTTTGCCCTCTTGCATCACTCACTCTGGGGGAAGCCACCCCCCGTGTTGTGAAGACACTCAAGCAGCCCTCAGGAGAAGAATGAGCGGCTGAGGCCTCCAGCCAACAGCCACATGGGCAGCGACTCTGAAAGGGGTTCCTCCTGCTTCCAGTAAGGCTTTCGATATCATGACTGATGCCCCGGCTGACATCTTGACTGCAATTCAAGAGAATTAAGTTACACACCTCCCCATCCCAAATTCCTGTACTGTAGAAACTGGGTGAGATAATAAATATCAGCTGTTGTTTTATCCGTTACATTTTGGGATAACTTGCTATATAGCAATAGATAACTACTCCTTTATTGAATTATCACTTTGGAGAAAAGTGGGAAGTGAAAGTGAAAAGTTGCCCAGTCGTGTCCGACTCTTTGTGACCCCATGGACTGTATAGTTCATGGAATTCTCCAGGCCAGAATACTGGAGTGTGTAGCCGTTCTCTTCTCCAGGGGATCTTCTCAACCCAGGGATTGAACCCAGGTCTCCTGCATTGCAGGCGGATTCTTTACCAGCTGAGCCACCACGGAAGCCCAAAGTGGGAAGAAAGGTGCCTAAATACAGTGGTACTGGGTTATCTCATACAGTTCTTTCTTGGAAGAACATTAGGCCTAATTTTATTGCTAGGTGTCAGTCAAACAGGTATATGAGGAATTCCCTGGCGGTCCACTGGTTAAGGCTCCATGCTTCCAATGTAGGAAGCAGAGATTTCATCCCTGGTCAGGGAACTAAGATCTTGCATGCCATGAGGCACAACCAAAAATATTTAGACAATACTTTGGCCAGGGAGGCCTGGTGTGCTGCAGTCCACGGGGTTGCAAAGAGTCGGACACACGTGAGTGGCTGAACTGAACTAAACTGAACTTGGCCGCCTTACGCGAACAGCCAACTCATTGGAAAAGACCCTGATGCTGGGAAAGATTAAAGGCAAAAGAAGGGGGCAGCAGAGGATGAGATGGTTGGATGGCATCACTGACTCAATGGACATGAACCTGGGCAATCTCCAGGAGATAGTGAGGCATGGCGTGCTGCGGTCCATGGGATCACCAACAGTGGGACATGACTTAGTGACTAAACAACAGCAACAAATATGAAATAAGAAATGAAATGATCCAGAATTTCATTTTTAAAATGTGCTTTGCCCATAGGACACAGTTAAGTTACTTGGAAATCCCTCTGGGGCTTCCACACTTGGTGTGAGTTCAGCTCACCCCAAGCGTTGTCCCAACCCAGGTCTGTCTGACTCCCTGACTGGAGAAAGTGGGATCCAGGACAGGCTTTGATGCTTGCATGAGGTTTGGTTGGCAGACATATGGAGAGAGGGCAAGGACCAGTGAGTTCATCCTTACATTCCTGGTTCCCAGACCATACCAAACCTGGAGGAGGTGCTCAGCAAATATCTGAGGACATTCCAAGTTAAGGAGGAGCATAAACAGGGACCTGGGGCTGGGAGGGGGTGGAAGTGAGAGTGGTAAGTTGCACAGTGAGGCCGGGGAAAAAGCATAAATTCATATATGGAGAGTGATTCATACGTGACTCGATAATGTACTTGGCTTTTACAGCTGTGGGCATGTTTCCTGCTACATGCCGGGGACTTTGGGAGTGACATACCACTCCCAGGCTCATTGCCTCCTCCCTGTCACCTGCTCCTCTCCCTCCCCTCTTTCTGTGAGTGGTCCTCTTCAGGTCATTTTCTTCATTAAAAACCCGACTTCCCATCACCCTTACTATAAAACCCAGACCCCTTGACCCCATCCAGCCTTAGTCCTATGTTCACCCTGCATAGCCTCACTTGTTCTTGGTTTGTCATTGCCCATCTGAAACAGGAGGGAAGGGGGAAGAGCACAATCTCTAAAAGAATGACAGAGCCCTTGAGGATGTGACATAAGCTGGTTAGAACCAACTAGGTCCAAGCTGGCGGAAGATCCGACTTCCAGTGGACTTGGAGCCTCATTATATGCTCATTGCAATGCAATAGCTAAGTGACACACCCACCAGCAACAGAAGATGAGGTGGTTGGATGGTATCACCGATTCGATGGACATGAACTTGGGCAAACTCCAGGAGATGGTGAAGGACAGGGAAGCCTGGAGTGCTGCAGTCCATGGGGTTCTGAAGAGTCGGATACAACTTGGTGACTGACAACAACAACACACCCACCAGTACCAGCACAGTTCTGAGGTCAGTCATAGAAGGTCAAAAAGTGGGCAGTGGCCCAATTTCTGGAAATCACCGCCCCTTCCCCGAAATACTTGGAATAATCCTCCCATTCATCAGCCTATGAAATTACCCAGCCCATAAAAATCAACCACCTGATATTTCAGGGCCACTCACCTTCTGAGATGGCCCATACTCTCTGCCTGTGGAGTGTGTTTCTCGCTAAACAAATCCACTTCTTACCTATCACTTTGTCTCTCACTGAATTCTCTCTGTGACAAGACGTCAAGAACCTGAGCACCCTAGCAGGTGCTCAGTCAGCATGCTGAAGGAATGAAGGAATCCAGGGAGTCCAGGCTCAGCCACAGCTATGCGTGGGCTGCCCCGCCCCCCATCCAAGCCCCTTATCAGGGAACCACCTCTGTTGGTCAATTAGAAAACGTTTCGCTTGGGCCCAAGTGCACTTGGGTGAAAATCGGTGAGATGATGGGTACCCAAAGTGGTGACCCCATTTTGTCCATGTTCTAGTTTCCCTTAAGCAGGCTGGCTTGTGGAGCCGTCCAAGTCACACTGTTCTATGTTCTCCCTGGTGGGGCTGGTGCTCAGGAGACCTCGGAGACAAAATATACATGTGTGTGTGCTCAGTCGCTTGGTCGTGTCCAATTCTTTGCGACCCCCATGGACTGTAGCCCACCAGGCTCCTCTGCCCAAGGAATTGTCCAGGCAAAAATACTTGAGCAGTTGCCATTTCCTTCTCCAGAGGATCTTCCCAGAAAAGAGATTGAACCTGGGTCTCCTACATCTCCTGTACTGGCAGATGGATTCTTTACCACTGAGCCAGCCACCCGGGAAGCCTGATCAAGATACAACATTCTCTCCAGTATTTATCAGGCCCTGCCCTAGGAAGAGGGTGCAAGAAATCTTCACTGAGGGAGAATTCTAACTCGCTGACACTGGTGGCCAGGTGGGTTGCTGAGATCCCTGAGGCTGCACCCAGGTCATGGGCACAGGTGCTGTGGTAGATTGGTGATGTCTGCAGGGGGATGGAGGCAGGTGCAGTGATAGATTGGTGATGTCTGCAGGGGGAGAGAGGCAAGTGCAGTGATAGATTGGTGATGTCTGCAGGGGGAGAGAGGCAGTTCTCAGGAGCTAATCCAGAAGGACCTCACCTGATGTGATGGCATTATCCCTCCTTAAGTTCTCACCCTGGTTCTTCAGGGACGTGATTTCCAAGTTCCTCTCAGACAGGGTTTGGCACAGCACCTGGCTGTAACCTTGCTGCAGGGCACTGATCTGTGGGAAGAGGCAACACACAGTCAGAGGGGGGCCAGCCGGCTTTGCAGGACACGCTGGTACTTCTCCCAAGGCTGGACAAAAAGAGTCAGGTTGATCTTGGGTCGGGGTGTTGGGGAAACCAAGCTTTCCAGTTATAACTGGTGGGAGAGATGGGAGGGTGCCTATTCCTTCAGTGACCACCGTGCCCTGCATCATCAAGACACAAACCTGACCTCTGTGGTCACCCAGGATCTCAGGGACCCCTGCCTTGGATCCCTTCCTGTGACTGAGGCAGGAGGCAGATGGGCTTCAGGCTGGACACTTACAACCAGCCTTCTGTTTACAGTTCCCAAGACAGGAGGGAGGTGGGCTCCAGGTTAGTCATTTATAACCAGCCTCCTGTTTGCACTTTGAGATGGAAATAATGACAGGAACAGGGTAAATGGCTGGACTTTGTCTCCTGTGGACACATCAGTTGTGTCAGGGACAGACAGGGGCAAAACCTTGTTTGAGTACAAGACCAAGAGGTCACATATTTCCCATCCTTGGGGCAAGGGAGTCACTGCACATGTGCAGAAAGGCTCCTTGGGGATAACAAAGGAGGGGTCACCATCCCATAATATGTGATGTCAAGCCCCATCCCTCACTGGCTGCTGGGCTGGAATCTATCTTGGGAAAAAGCTGTGCATACATGTCGGGGAGGATCCTAGGGTAGGTCTGGTGTGGAAAAAGAAACTAGATAATTGGCAAAGGTAAACAAAGACCCACCGGATGGGTGGCCACCTAATGCAAAGAGCCGACTCACTAGAGAAGACCCTGATACTGGGAAAGATTGACGGCAGGAGGAGAAGGGGACGACAGAGGACGAGACGGTTGGATGGCATCACCGACTCGATGGACCTGAGTTTGAACAAGCTCCACAAGACCGAGCCACTGAACAACAACAACAACAAAGACTTGAAAGAATTGCCCTATATACATGATGTAACCACCTCTGTCCTGGGCTCCTCCTCACTGAAGGGATGCCCACGCCTTCTCTCCGAGTGTGCATCTCTGTCTTAACTAAACAAACAGTTTCTCTGTGTGCTCTTCCAGTTGTTGTGCTGTGTCCGTAACAATAAACTTTGTACCTGTTTTTTTTTTTAATAGTTTTTGCCTACACAAGAAATGCATTTTTCAATGGGAGCAAGAGCCAGGGAAGATTTGCTTCTAGCCTCTAGCTGTTGATGGTCCAGTGGCTAGGAGTCCTGGTTTTTACCTTGGCTACCCAGGTTCAGTTCCTGGGCAGGGAACTAAGATCTCGCTTCAAGCCACCGCTCACTGTTGCCTCCCCGAGATCACCATCTGTAGACTTTTAGCCATAAACAGTCTAGCAGGTGCCGAATCATCCAGCACTGACTGTATGCAGAGCAAAATTCAGGAGACAGGAGGGTGTTGTGCGTGCTCAGTCACATCCGACTCTTCTGTAACCCCAGGGACTGTAGCCCACCGGGCTCCTCTGTCCACTGGATTTCCCAGGAAAGAACACTGGAGTGGGTTGCCATTTCCTATTCCAGGGGTTCTTCCCAACTCAGGGATCAAACTCATGTCTCCTGTGTCCTGTGCCTTAGCAGGCAGACTCTCTACCACTGCACCACCTGGGAAGCCCCCAAAAGATAGGAACAAGTTATACAATGAATTTCCTTTAATGAGAACAGCAAATAGCTTATACCTCATACAACACTCCAGAGTTTACAAAACTCGTTTGCACATGCTACATGGATACTCTTCATAGCATTGCTGAAGGTTGCTGTTCCCATCAGTCTTCCCACTTGCAAGGGAGCAGACTGAGGCTTGGAGAGGTAAAGTCCCCCGCTCAGTATCACGGGGCTGGTCAGAGGTGGAGCAGGATTCAAACCCAGCCTCTAGCGGCCCATTTCCACCTTTCCAGGTGGCCCTAGGAAGCAGCATGAAAAGCTGGAGGCTGTAAAGGACAGAGTGGACTTGGGAGCCAGACTGTAGGCTGCAAATTCTGTTTCTGTCTGTTATGGGCCGTGTGAACACAGGAATACACCATATTCTATCTTCAGTCTGTACATGGGGTGATGGTAGTCCCAGACTGATAGGATTGTTAGAAGTATTGTTTTTCCCTAGGCCCTGCTTTTCAGCATGTCGGATCTTCATTCCCCAACCAGGGATCAAACCCATGCCCTCTGCTTCAGCAGCTCGGAGTCTTAACCACTGGACCACCAGGAAATCCCTGTGAGAAGTATCTTAACAAATTAGTCATGTGTGCAAGTACTCAGATCATGCCTGGCACACAGCATAGAGGGATGAGGTGTCATGGTCCTCTCAGCTGACTACCCATGGCGTGTTTTAGCTTCAGCTTCCCTTGTCTGTCTCTGGGGAAAGGAGTTGGGAATCTTTTTGTGTGCATTTGTAAGTCTTGCTCAGGCTCACTTTAACACTGCTGTGGTTATTAGGAGGAAATACAGGAATCATGGGTGGGATGACCATAGGCTGGCTGCTGCGAGAACTCTGGAAGTCCCTGGCTCAGAACCCACTTGAGGGCCAGCCCCTCTCCGGGGATCCACACGCAGGGCAGGGGCCCTGGAAGGATCTCCTTGGAAAGCAGCCCTGGTAAGGGCTGGAAAGTAGCTGCCGCATCTCGGCCTCCGCAGAGCAGGTACCCGAGAGGCTGGGGAAGGGAGGTGGACCAGAACACCCTCCCTCTTCATCTGACTCCCGACTGCTTGGTCTGAGTGGCCAGGCCTTTTGCCTCCCAGGGTGCGCTGTGGGCCTTCGCCGCTTTGATTTTTCAGACATCAGGACTCAGTTCTCCCACAGGGACATGTTTATTGGGGCGGAAATGCCACATAGTCCCTAGACAGGATGAGGGCTAGCTTGTTTTGATAGATCAAAATAGAAGCAATAAGGAGCAGGACATAATTTCTTTGTTTTTCTAAGGTAAGGTTGCCAGATTTGGGGGAGAAAAAAAGGATGCCCACTTAAAATAAGATGACAGATAACATTTTCGTGTGTGTCCTGTGCAGTATGTGGAACATATGCTAAAGAAGACATTCTAATATTCAAATTTAATTGGGTGTCCTTATTTTATCTGGCAACCCCACCCTAAGAGAGCTCTTAAACTTCAGTCATTCAAATACCACTTTCACTATTTTTGCCATATCTCTTTCCTGGTCCCACTATAATTTCTTAGCATTTTTCTTAGAAGTCCCTTGCTTTTTAAACTTAAAAACATGTATTAAATTAAAAATAACTGCTATAAGAGTAAACTGAGACACAATATCGTAAATAAAAATACTCTTAAAAGAAGATAAAATATAAGAATTTCCTTGTTTACTGTCAGACCAGGCTGCAGGTTCCACATTAAAAAAAAAAAAAAGATTGGGGGGAAGGGGCGGGCATTCCCAGGTATTTGGGAAACAGTGTGGAGACCTTGCCACCAGATGGCGCTCACAGCCTTTGGTCCTGGTTTCTGTGCCTGAAAATCTTGTCATTCTTACTCAGAATTAATGGAAGTGTCAAGGTCTCACAAGTTTTCTTTCTCATTTCATGCACCATCATAGTTGAGAGTCTATGACATTTACAGGGGTTACAGATACTTTTCCCCTGGGGCATCTGAGACATTATTGAGACAGGTCTATGCTAGAAGGTGGGTGGGGCGGGGGCACAGGCCACTCTGGCATCCAACCTCTCCAAGGCTATTGTAGTTCAGTTGCTCAGTCGTGTCCAGCTCTTTGCAATTCCATGGACTGCAGCATGCCAGACTCTCTGTCCTCCACCATCTCCTGGAGTTTTCTCAAATTCATGTCCATCAGGTCAGTGATGCTATCTAACGATTTCATCCTCTGTTGCCCCATTCTCCTTTGGCCTTCAATCTTTCCTAGCATCAGGGTCTTTTCCAGTGAGTTGGCTCTTTGCATCAGGTGACCAGAGTACTGGAGCTTCAGCTTTAGCATCAGTCCTTCCAATGAATATTCAGGGTTGATTTCCTTTAGGATTGACTGATTGGATCTCCTTGCTGTCCAAGGGACTCTCAAGAGTCTTCTCCAAACCATGTTTCTAAAGCATCAATTCTCCAGTGCTCACTTTCTTTATGGTCCAAGTCTCACATCTATACATTACCACCTTCTATGGGTGGTGGTGGGGGGGGGGGACACAGGCCACTCTGCCCACCAGCCTCCCCAAGGCTATACTTTTGCAGGTTTGTGCTTTAGACTTTGAGTGAAAAAAATTCTTTCATCTCTTACTGAAGAGATGAAAGAGGGTGGGTGGTGGTGGTGGTGGTGGTGGAATACAACTTTCCCATAAAAGGTACTTGGAACACTTAAGCAAACTGTTTCTAGCTCTTCTCAGCTTAATGGGTTCATTTGCATAAGGAAGGACACACAGAGGCAAACTTCCAGAAGGGAAAACATACGTTCCCCTCTAAAGACTCCAGTGTTTTTGACAGATTTAAAATATTTCATTCTAAGTGTCAGAGTTTTAGGATTTTGGATTGCTGAAAAACTCAAAAGAGTCTTCAAGGGACTTCCCTGGTGGTCCAGTGGTTGAGAGCTCAAGTTCCAATGTAGGGGATGTGGGTTTGATCCCTGGTCGAGGAACTAACAGCCTGTGCACCACAACTAGAGAAAGCCTGCATGCACAACAAAGACCCAGCTGAGCCAAAAAAAAAAAAAGAGTGTTTCAAACCTCTTAGTTACTTTTACTACCAAAACAAATATCCATGTTGTCTGTAACTGGCATAAACTCCAATATGTTTAATGTCTGTTATGCTATGTAATAAAATGGGCCCAGAATCATAAGAAAATTAATAGTGCTAGGAGGAGTGACTGTTTCAAGATACTAATTTGGTTTCTAATTAGCACAGGCATATAAGAACACATGCAGGCAAGAATGTTCTAGTGATATTTCTAGGGGATCGAAGATCTTTGAGAGCAAGTCATTATGTATATGCTTTCAGGGACCAAGGAGAATGCATACAGTAATCAGAACAATAAATCAACCAGCCATGCGGCTTCTGCTTCTGGCTGAATGTTCTGCCGGCAGTAGAATATTGAAGAAGCTAAAACATGAGTGGATGGAACTCCATTTGAGTTCAAACCAGGGCAGCCTCTGGTTCATAGATGTCTTGTTACAAAATATTCTCCTTCAGTTATAAGTTAAGCTCCAGAGGTGGAGGAGGTAACAGGATGATGAATCAGTGTAATTATTTCTAGACAATTCCTTTGTAAAAAAAATTTTTTTTCCCCCAGATATCATCAGCCACTTTAAATAATACTCAAATTGTGAGGCTGATATTCAAAGATATGTGGCAATTCTATAATACTATGTGTCAAATATGTTTCAACTGAAGAAAAAAAAAGATATATGAGAATAATTCAGCCTTGTCCATGTACCTGTGACATTAGCTCAGGAAAGGTCTGAAATGGGAGGATAACTGAAAAGGATATTTCACCAAAACTGGGTTCAGCTCAAGAGAAGATGCTCCTCAGGGAGTCAGTTACACGTCAAGGCAGCTGTTTGCAGTAGGGGTTCCTGCAGGACTTGCCGCTTCCAGTGGTTTTTTCAAAAGTAGGTTCAAAAGAGTCACCGCTTCATTGAAATACTAGAACATATATCCTGTTTCCTGGTTTATTCTGTCCCGCTCACTAGAGCAAAACAGGGGGAGGGATCATGTCTTCCTTATTTGTGGTGAATTCACAGAACCCGGAAGATAGCATGACCCAGGGTTGGCCCCAGCAAATACTGATCTGAATGAACAGATGGATGGATAAAGAACAAGCAGACACAGACCCATCAGAGTTTTGGAAGATTACTAGGACCAACCTTTGCCTTCATGGAGCTGACAGTCTCCTGATAGAATCTCCTAGGTTCCCCATACAACCCGTGTCCTTTCTAGGGCACCGTTTCTAGGACTGAAATTGTGCACCTAGAATCCGTGACAGAAGGGGAAGGCAATAAACAAAGAATCAGGGAACCGAGGCCCCAGACGTGGCTATGGTTTTAAGCAGATTTATGCACTGAGGCCAAAATTCATCAGTGGCCAATTCCTTTCTTTTATCAACTATGTTGAGATATGGGCGTCCCTGGTGGCTCAGCTGGTAAAGAATCCACCTGCAATGCAGGAGACCCTAGTTTGATTCCTGGGCTGGGAAGATCCCCCGAAGAAGAGAATGGCTACTCACTCCAGTATTCTGGCTGGGAGAGTTCCACGGGCTATATAGTCCGTGGGGTTGCAAAGAGTCAGACACAACTGAGCTACTTTCACATATGTTGAGATATAATTTATGTACAAGATCAATGGCTGATTTTAAAGTCATTACTTAAAAAAAAATTTTTTTTTTCTGGATCTAGTTTCAAAAGAAAGGACCTTGATCATAAATCCAGGCATCCTACGTGGAGTTTTGGGTGAAATTCTCCATAAATGAAGCAGCAGCTGCCTTCAGGGTTTGAGAAAGGCCTTGGTGTTTGGAACACTGGGAGGTTCCTTCTCCCCATCTCCAGTCCTTTCTGGATGGGGCCAGGTGAGCATGAGAGGTGGTCACTAAAGCATAGAGCTGGGTGGAAATGCAAAGTGGCAGAGGGGAGCTCAAGTCACGCAGCCACCTCTCATTTGCTGTGCAAGCTGTAACAAGTTCCTAGGTATCTCCAAGCCTGCCTCAGTCTCCTCATCTGTAGAATCGTACGTGTAGTTAGGGGCTTCCCAGGTGGTGCTAGTGGTGAAGAACCTGCCTGCCAAGGCAGAAGATGTAAGAGACCAGGGATCGATCCCTGGGTCAGAAAGATCTCCTGGAGGAGGGCATGGCAACCCACTCTGATATCCTTGCCTGAAGAATCCCATGGACAGAGGAGCCTGGCAGGCTACAGTCCATAGGGTTGCACAGAGTCAGACATGACTGAAGAAGGCACTTAATCAAAAGTATTAATAATATTGTTTTTAGCAGGCTAGGAACCTGCCACGTCTCTCCTCCCTGGATCTGTGCTCTTCCCCACCATCTGTGCTGACTGCCTGTTTCCAACTATCCGGGTAGATACCCTTGGTGCTCCCTGGGACTCCACCTGAGAGCCATCTGTGAGTCACCACCCTAAGGCTCTGACCCCTCGTCTTTTAAATTAACTGTCATTAAAGTATAGCTGCTTTAGAATGTTGTGTCAGTTTCTGCTGTACAGTGAATCAGTTTAAAAAAAGTGAATCAGTTACATTTATACACATATCCCTTCTTTTTCCGACTTCCTTCCCATTTATCTCACCACATAGCGTTGAGTAGGGTTCCCTGTGCAATGCAGTAGGTTCTCATGAGTCATCTGTTTTATACGTAGTATTTAGAGTGTGGGGCTTTCCTGGTGACTCAGTGGTAAAGAATCCGCCTGCCAAGGCAGGAGCTGCAGTTCCGATCCCTGGGTTGGGAAGGTGCCCCTGGAGAAGGAAATGGCAACCCACCCCAGTATTCTTGCCTGGGAAATCTCGTGGACAGAGGAGCCTGATGGGCTACTGCTCATGGGGTCGCATAAGAATCGGACATGACTTAGCAACTAAACGAGGACAATTAAGAGTGTGTGTATGCCAATCCCAGCCTGCTAATCAGTCCCACGCCCCTCCTCCCCTCTACCTGGCTTTTTAAGTTCTGAATTTCTCTCTGTTGGGCATCATCGTCTTCCTCCAGAACCTGGAGCTTGGGCGGGACCACCCTCTCATTCTGCCTGGAGGCGGCTGTTTCCGACAGCTTCTGGCTCAGGTGGGCCACTTCGTTCTGAAGGTTCACGATCACGGCATCTTTGTATTTGGATTCGAGTTCGAAATCCGAGAGACGGCTGACTTCTTTTCCCAGCAGCAGAATTATTTCATCCTGGGTGGAGGCCAGATGGGAAGTTTAGTGGGTGTGGGTCTGGGTGTAAGGCTGGGCCCATTGAAAAAAAATATAGGAAAAATATGGTATCATTCTCTGGGAAGGTGAGGGCAGGCAGGGAAGGACAAGGCAGATTCTCAAGGCTATCTCCGTCATTTGAGAAAATCTCATAGAATCAAGAATTTGGTTGAAATGATGTACTTGTCTATAGGTATCTGTCATGGATGTCTGGGCTTCTCAGGTGGTGCTAGTGGTAAAGTACTTGCCTGCCAATGCAGGAGATGTAAGAGATGTGGATTTGACCCCTAGGTCGGGAAGATCCCCTGGAGGAGGGCATGGCAACCCACTCTAGTATTCTTGCCTGGAGAATCCCATGGACAGAGGAGCCTGGTGAGCTACAGTCCATGGGGTTGCAAAGAGTCAGACACGACTGAAGCGACTTAGCCTGTACACACATGAATGGATGTCTATAGCTCACAGATACTGAAACTTTCCTTTCCCTGAGAATTATCCTTTCATGTTAAGAATAACCATCCCACTTGGGAACTTCTGTTGCTGGAAAGTTTATAATTTTTTATTTACAATATTCAGCCTAGCACACTGGGGACCAAGGAAAGGTAACTAGGAAAACAACATTCTATTCAATCACATTCTACGTATAACGAGGGCTATTTTTTTTTTAAACTTAAAACATTTAATACATTCTGAAATATTTATTTTCCCTTTCCTCTCTTCTAGTACTTCCTGCCTCTCTGGCAATTCCTGTAAGAATTTTTTTTTCCAGGTCACTGAATCTGGGAAGTAAGCGAGACGGGAATGCTGATTATTTGTTTGGGCTGGTGTAAACTTTGGGCTGGAAAAACAACATCGCTGGCAGACTTCACCCACAGGTATAACTAACCCTGTCTTCCATCTCTCCAAAGAAAAAGTTCTAACAAAAGAATTTGTTAGGTTTTCCAAAAGTGGAAAAAAAAAAAAAATCCCCCAAGCTTTTCGACAGCAGTTATCAACAAAATGTCAAGAAAACTGAAAAAAAAAAAAAAAAAGAATTCGCCAGATACCTTTTCAAAGGCAGACACAAAAAGAGGTAAACGGGCAATATCCAGGCTGGCTTATTCCCATGGGAGCTTGCCCAGTTGGCCTCAAGACCTTCCAGCTCTATGACCTGGGGAAGGACAGGATCTTAGTCAGGAGGAAGCTTGTCTGACATTGCCAGCTGCTGCCAAGGGTCTTCTTTTGGGTCCTTGTAAATGCTGGTGGCAAAATTTCAAGAGAGTGCACCAAACAGATTCCCTGCTCCTGGGCAGTTTCCCCCTCTTTCATCCTGTTATGATCAGCCAGGAGCTTATTTATTTTTCATGCAATAAACACTCATTGGGCAGCCACTATATACCAGGCCCTGTGTTGGTGCTGAAATATAAGTTTACAGAGGGCGATGGACTGCTGTGGGTTCTGTCTTCCTGGTGAGTGCCACCCCTCAGCCCCCAATGCCCTTCCTAGAGGGAGTCTGGTGCATGTGACCCAAGCTGGTCAATCAGTTTTCTCAAAGATTTCACACATCAGTTACAGAGGGTGAGGATCTCTTGCCTCCTTTTGGACCACAGACCTTACATTTAGAGGCTTGTTTGCCTGAGTTTGCCTTTTCCAACACACAAAACTGGCCTTATGCTGAAAGCCAGACTTTGAGGGAAATAGAGGGGAGAGATTGGTGGTATGAAGTGTTCTGATGACAAGATTCAAGCTCCTGGATCTAGCCATACCTGAAGCTAGAGACCCTTTAAATATTCCAATAGGAAGAGCCAATAAATGCTTCCCTCTCTATCAAGCTAATTTCTTTATTGTCACCTGAAGGAGTCCTGGCAAGTCAGGGCATAAATGGCTTATAAATAGAAAAAAATTATAACTGTGGTTGCACTATATTTCCAATTTAAAAATGGAGGCAAGTTGAAAAATGGCTACAAACACTTTGCAGCTTGGCCATCTAGCCTATTTCCCCGCTCTCTAAGTCTAGGCTGGCTCTGGGACTTCTTTAACCAGCAGAAGGTAGTGGAAGTGTGGCTGCATGATGCCCAGGCAAGTTCTTACAGGCTGTAAGCTTGTGTTCCAGCCCCCTGGGAACCCTGAGAACACTGTGCTATGATGAAAAACCACAAGCAGAAAAGGGGGGCACCAGTCCAGGCATTCTGGCTGAGGCTCCAGTCCTGGGAAGGGGGCCATCAGAGAGACCACCAGCCCGGCCAGGTCATGGGCTGACTGCAGTCTAGTGAGTGAGGTCAGGGGACAGGAGCAAAGTAAACTTCCAGATCAATCTGGAGATTCTGGGGAATAATGAGTTGCTGTTTTAAGCCCCTACGCTTTCGGGGCGGCTTGTTACACAGCAAGAAATACAGAATCCGAGCCTGGCTTCTCACCTCCCACCAACAATTCTTAGAGTCTTGTCTCAGGACACCTTTGTCAGAACCCCCTACCTCCTGAAGTTTGGATTCCATGTCTGACAAAGACCCCAGGTGGTTCTGCTCCTCAGAGACTCTGAGAATTGCTGCAGGCCCAGGCCCTGGCCTTTGAGGAAAGCGAGATATTGCAGACTGCTTCTTTTAGGATTATTTTCAGGTCACGGCTAAGAGGGGAGAAATCGACCTGGGTCCTTCCCAGGATGGTGTGAATTCACCTCTTGTCCTTCTTTGAACCTCCCTAATTCTTTAATGAGTTTCTTTCTTTGCTTGGGTCTCCCTGACTTCAGTGTTCACTCCCTCCTGCCAGAAATGTATTTACCCATCATCACTGTTCCATCACTCGAAGCTGACCGAGTGATTACTATGTGTGTGTGTTAGAAGTACCCGCTGGGAAGTTAAAAAGACCTAGGTTTGAATCCTAACACTGCTCCTTACCCTGGGCAACCTTAAACAAGTTATTTAACCTCTCTGAGCTTCAGTTTCCTCATCTGCCAAGTGAGGGAGATAAAATCTATCCTGAAGATGATAAGGATTAACAAGTCAAGAAAATGTGAAGTGCATAGGACATGGCCCAGTACACCGGAGGTGCTCAGTGGTAGATGCTATTTGGGATAAAATGAGCAGTAACCAAACATTTGGCTTAATGTCTTGGGAGCAAGAGGTGATTTCTTGGAAGTAGTTAAAAAAAAAAAAGAAAAAAAAGGCCACAAAGAGCAAGAGGCAGTGGCAATCCCTCCGTGGGTCCCTCTCGCTGCTGTAGCGCAGCCCTCCCCGAGATCCCTCACCTTCTCCTGCTGGGCCAAGTCATGATCCACAAACATCTCCCTGGCGGATCCTGTCCTGGGAATTTCCTCGGCCACTGCTTGCTCTGACAGATTCACGGCGTTGGTCCACACTAACACACACGGGCGACAGAGAATGCAGAGGAGATTGTAAGTTTCCCCAAAAGCTTAGAGGATGCCTTCAGATTAGTCTTCACACTCACGAAACTCACGCAATGACATCATCACAGCAATGCTGGTAAGGGCAAGAGCCGCCTCCTGCTCTTCCCTAGGGTTAGCTGTGCTGACGCACTTTGACGCAGCCCTTTTCAGACTTATTTCTATGCCGCCTAAGAGCTGAGGACCTGTGCAGGTAATTTAATCTCTCTCAGCTATATATATAATGTAGGGACGCTAATAGTCTCTATTATAAAGGGCTCTTCGGAGAGTAAATAGAATAATGATGTAGAGCAGGGTTGGGCAAACTATGACCCTACGGCCAAATCTGGCCCTCTGCTTATTTCTTAATTTATTTATTGGACTTTTCTCTACTGCAGTGAGTGGGAGCTACTCTCTAGTTGTGGTGCATGGACTTCTCATTGCAGTGGTTTCTCCTGTTGCAGAGCACAGGCTCTAGGGAGCGCAGGTTCAGTAGTTGCAGCAGGTGGGATCAGTAGTTGTGGCCCATGGGCTTGGTGGCTCCATGGCGTGTGGAATCTCTGCAGACCAGGGACTGAACCCGTGTCCCCTGCACTGGCAGGCAGATTCTTATCTACTATGACACCACGGAAGTCCAGCTATTTTTTAAATTGCAGTCACATCTTTTATTTAAGATTTTTTTTTTTGAGGTTGACCTTTTTTCCTTTTTAAGTCTTTATTGAACTCATTACAATATTGCTTCTGCTTTGTGCTTCAGTTTTTTGGCCATGAGTCATATGGGATCTTAACTCCCCTATCAGGGATCAAACCCGTACCCCCTGCATTGGAAGGTGAAGCCTTAACACTGGACCACCAGGCAAGTCCCTAGTCATATTTTTAACAAAAAACAAAAATGGGGGGATTCCCTGGCTGTCCAGTGGTTAGGACTCTGCTTTCCCTACCAAGGGCTCAGGTTCAATCCCTGGTTGGGGAACTAAGATCCCACGGCCAACAAACAAAAACAAAAATGGATTTACATAACAGAGATTTTTCTCCAGCTTACTTTTCACCTAACAATAAAAAAAAAATAAAAAAATAAAAATAAAAAAAATCAGCATTTGTAGCTGTACTTGGTTCTTTTTAAAAATATTTATTTATTTTTGGCTGAGTTGGTTCTTACATGTGGGTGAGCGGGCTTCTCTCCAGTTGTGGTGAGTGGGCTTCAGTGCACGGGGGCTCACTAGTTGTGGTGTGCAGGCTTAACTGCCCCTCGCCACGTGGGAGCTTAGTTCCCTGATCAGGGATCAAACCCCCATCCGCTGCATTGGGAGGAAGGTCCCTAACCACTGGACCACCAGGGAAGTCCCTGTCCTAGGTTCTTTTTAATGATGGCATTGTGCTCCACTATACAACTGTACCTGATGTATTAACTAGGACCCACTTGATAGACATACAAGCTTTCCTGATTGTTTTCTTATTAATCCCATTATTACAAGGGCTGTTTACATGACTTTTGGAGGATGTGGCATTATGTTTGGGGATCTCACTCTGAATCATATCAGACATATCACAGTTCACATCAAGAATGAATAAATTTTGGGGGGGGGGTAGAAACTTTTGTAAAGATTTCCATAATTCTGCCTGTGAGACCACTTGGCTCCAAGCAGTGTATTTTAAATTTCCAACGGACTCTCTGGTTTCTGGGCAGTCACTGCACATTCTTATCTTCTTGTGAAGTGAGAAACTGATCCAATTGTTTTCAAAGGCAGTGAAACTTTAATAGGTGTTAACATGAATGATGAATGAAGCATGCACCGACGCGTTTGTGGCCATTTATTCCATCATTTATTCATTTGGCTTCTGCATTTTTTATTTATGCACTTCAGAGTCAATGATTCCCACCCTACCAAGCTTTTAAACATGTCTGTGGATCCTAGAACCTCCAGTGGACGCAGCCTATTAAAAAAAAAATCCTCACCTGGTACAGGTTTGACTATAACGTGCAGCCAAATTCTGGGCCCTGTCATGCATCAAGGACTGTCAAGGCCTGCAGATCAGTTTCTAAATATTCAGCCTAGTGTGCTTGGGGCTATATGCGTGCAGGTCATTTAACTTTCAGGCCAGAGGTGGTCAGATCCCGAGTCTGCGGTCCTCAGTCCTGGTGTGGCCAGGCAGCACTGCGTGAGACAGGCCATAGACCAGAGGACGCTGGGCCTCCCGAAGGTCAGAAATGGGTTCTTACTGGTAACAGCATGGCCCGTTACTCGGCATGCTGAACTCTAGAAACCAGCTCCCAAGGGTCCAGTGGAGGAAGGGATTGCCTGGCCCGTGCCATGGGGCAGGCCCTGGAGTCTGACCCTAATGGTGCGAGTGTCCAGTCTCGGCTTAAAGCTCTGGCATCTGATGCTGTCTCTAGGGGTGACTCCAGATGCTCTGAGACCCTGTGAGGTGATGGTCGGAGGGGGACATCATCAAACCTATAGACGAGGCTGAACGACGGGACCCCTCTGCTGCAGAAGGTGTATTCACTCAAAGTCTTTGTGGGGGCAGAACGTGCTCTGAGACTCCTTACACCCAGGCTGGGAGGCGCTGGGGCAGCTTCCCCTCACCCGCCCCAAATGTCTTTACAGGCTACTATTATTTATCAACACTGGAGCAGGAAATGGCAACCCACTCAGTATTCTTGCCTGGAAAGCTCTATGGACAGAGGCCTGGCGGGCTACAGTCCACGGGGTCACAGAGTCGTACACAGCTGTGGGGCTGTGCTACCTTCATAGCTCCTCCTGTTTCCCCTGTTCCTATTCATATTATCTATCAAAAAGGATCCAAGGGCCACGTCTGACCAAACCGGTTTAACTCAGCTCAAAACAGACCCTCTTGCCTGCTGGACCCTTTGGAGATCCTAGTGGGGAGAACCCCCAGGGAGGGCCAGGAGGGCTGGGGGATTGGTGGGTTGGCAGAGGCGGGGACAGAGGCACTTGAAGAAGTTTCCAGCAGGAGCTATTTGCTAAACAGCAGGGGAGTTACTTCAGTATTTTAACAACCCACTGCCTGTCCTGGTGTGTGTGAAAGTCACTCAGTCTTGTCTGACTCTTTGCGACTCCATGGACTATACGTCCATGGAATTCTCCAGGCCAGGATACTGGAGTGGGTAGCCTTTCCCTTCTCCAGGGGATCTTCCCAACTCAGCGATCGAACCCAGGTCTCCCTCATTGCAGGCGGATTCTTTACCAGCTGAGGCACAAGGGAAGCTGGCCTGTCCTGGTGCTTATCCAATAATCACCAGTCCACAAAGGAGCAGCAAGTGTGCACCTTAATTGTGTCTTATTCTTTTGCCATTTCTTTTTAAAAAATTTTTTTAAAAATTATGAAAGTATGATAACACATCTATAGCAGACGTGGAAAATACAGAATAAAGTTACATATGTTAACTGTGTCTTTAAGACGTTGTTACACATTGTTAAGTTGTAAATAAAAGTTAAATGACAATCATGGGTAGATGATCATTTAATTTTTTAAAATTTTAACATTTATTGAGTGTTCAGTATGCATCAGGTACTGTACTTGGCACTTACAGGCAGGATCTGATTTTGTCTTCATAACAACCTCGTGAGATAGGCATTACTATTTCCATCTCTAGTGAAGGACACGGAAGCCTGGCGTGATACAGTCCATGGGGTCGCAAAGAGTCAGACACAACTAAGTGACTGAACAACAACATTCCTGTTTCCATTTCATAAGTGAGTGATATGAGGTACAGAGATGCCAAGTCACCTACTCAAGGACATACAGCTGGCAAATGGGTATGAGCCCAGGTTTGTTGGATTCTGAGCCCAACCTCTCCTAACCTCTATGCAGTAAATTTACTGAAGTGGAAGACATTTATGATATATTAATGAAATTCAAAAAGCAGGTTACCAATGTTAGGTTCACAGGATCCCACTATTGGGAGAAAAAAACATATATAAATTGGATGCTATTTTAAAAAATTCACCCAATGTATTTTCTGTTCTCAGTAATTCTTCTCCACCTCCCATGAGCTCTTGCCATTAAGATTTGGTGGTTTTGAAGCTGAGGTTTTATTGCCTTGTGGGAAAGGAAGGATGACTATTAAGTTAGAATGGGGTGATTTAGCCTTCAGGCACAATGACGTTTTGACTTCTGGCAAAGACTGGAGAAATTTCTGAGTATCACAGGTGGAGGGTCGGGGGGGGTGGGGTTGCTGCTGGTATCAAGTGGGAAGGAGCCAGGGATGCTGCTAAATGTTCTAAAGTGAACAGGACAGATCCCACAACAAGGAGTTCTCCAGTCCCAAATGTCACCGTGCCGAGACAGAGAAACCCTGACCTGGCCTACGGTAACTAAGTCCTTGGCTTTGGGTTTTAATTAGGATTTTTCAAATCTATAGCAAGCCAACAGTCTAACAGTAAACCAACTTTATTTGAAAACCCCAGCTTCGTTAAGAGGGGACAGGCTTTTTCCAGAACCCTCAAAAATAGATGTTTTCTATAAAGAGCCAGCCTGGAGGACTGGAGCATAGAGTGCTCCAAAGAGTGGAGTAGAGAGGCCCAGACAGGAAGGAGCTCTCCCTCACATGGGAAGTTGGAAGCCCTTCTCAGAGGACGGAGTGTCAGGGAAGTCAGGGTGACTGTATGGAAACAGATGAGACCTGGCTGGGAGGCTGAGGGGATAGAGCCCCAGGAAGATGTGAAGGCCTCTAAGCCATAGGATTCATCCTTCACTTCTCCAGGGGAGAGTACACCCCTTAGAGAAGCCCCAGTTTCAACACGGCATTGGAAAAACTGATGGCAAAATCCACTGATTACAGTTGCTGTTTAGTTGATCAGTTGTGTCTGACTCTTTGCGACCCCATGGACTGCAGCATGCCATGCTTCCCTGTCCATCACTATCTCCCGAAGTTTGTTCAAACTCATGTTCATTGAATCAATGATGCCATCCAACCATCTCATCCTCTGTTGCCCCCTACTCCTCTTGT